ACACGCTATGGGCATTATGAGTTCTCAGTCATGCCTTTCGGATTGACTAATGCCCCGGCAGTGTTCATGGAGCTTATGAACAGTGTGTTCCGACCATACTTGGACCAGTTCGTAGTAGTGTTCATCGATGACATCTTGGTTTATTCACGGACTCAGGAGGAGCATGCTAGACATTTGCAATTGGTTTTGAGTGTGTTGAGAGAGCACAAGCTGTATGCAAAATTGTCCAAGTGTGAATTCTGGTTGAGTGAGGTGACATTCTTAGGATATGTTATCTCGGCCACCGGTATCCAGGTAGACCCCAGCAAGATTTCAGCCATAGTGGATTGGAAGACTCCGCGGAATGTTCGTGAGGTGAGGAGCTTCCTTGGGTTAGCCGGTTACTATCGTCGATTTGTTAAGGGCTTCGCCTCGATCGCTACTCCATTGAACAAGCTACTGCGTAAGGTCATCAAATTCGAGTGGTCAGAAGCGTGCCAGCGCAGTTTTGATCAACTGAAGGAGTGCCTGACCCAGGCACCAGTCTTGATTCAACCCACTCCTGGCATCGAGTATACCATCTATAGTGACGCATCTCATAGCGGCTTAGGTTGTGTACTGATGCAGTTGAGTAAGGTAGTGGCCTACGCATCGAGACAGTTGAAGACTCACGAGGAGAACTACCCGACACATGATTTAGAGTTGGCAGCCGTGGTGTTCACCTTGAAGATTTGGCGCCATTACATCTTTGGAGAGAGGATTCACATCTTCACCGATCACAAGAGTTTGAGGTACCTACTCACCCAGAAAGAGCTGAATCTTAGACAATGTCGATGGTTGGAGCTGATCAAGGATTACGATTTAGTCATTGAGTATCACCCGGGCAAGGCTAACATCGTGGCCGATGCTTTGAGCAGAAAATCGTTAGCCGAGTTACAGCTTCAGTCTCCGTTAGAGCAGGAGATCCGTACAGCACAGAGAGATGATGAGTTTTGTCAGAAGACTCGAGAGTTAGTTCCTACAAGAAAGAGGCCCGAGTTTGCAATTCGCGATGACGGAGTCTTGTACTATCGTGAACGCCTAGTGGTGCCCCGCGGTGGAGTGAGGGATCGCTTGTTGCGCGAGGCTCACAGAACTGTATACACTATGCACCCGGGTAGTAACAAGATATATCAGGATTTGAAGAAATCCTATTGGTGGCCAGCTATGAAAAAGGAAATCTCCGAGTTCACTACGCGCTGTTTGACTTGTCAGCAAGTCAAGGCTGAGCACCAGGTTCCGACAGGGTTGCTGCACCCTCCTACCATTCCGGAATGGAAGTGGGAAAGGATCACTATGGACTTTGTGATCGGATTACCACGATCTTCACGAAAGAATGACGCCATCTGGGTCATAGTTGACAGGTTGACAAAGTCCGCTCATTTTCTACCCGTCAGACGTGACTTTTCCTTGGACAAATTGGCAGACTTATACGTTAGAGAGATAGTTCGTTTGCACGGTGCACCGCTGTCAATCATATCTGATAGAGATCCCCGGTTCACTTCGATGTTCAGGAGAGGACATCAGAAGGCTTTTGGCACAGCTTTGAACCTTAGTATGGCATTTCACGCTCAAACCGATGGCCAGTCTGAGAGGGTGATACAGATTGTCGAGGATATGATGCAAGCTTGTGTGATCGACTTTGGAGAAGATTGGGAGCGCTACTTTTCGTTGATGGAGTTTGCATATAATAACAGTTACCAGGCGAGTATTCAGATGGCTCCTTATGAGGCACTCTACGGCAGAAAGTGCCGAACCCCGATTTGTTGGACAGAGCTTAGCGAGCGTAACCTCGAGGGACCAGATATTGTGCAGGAAACCAAGGAGAAGGTTCGTGTGATCAGAGACCGACTCCGCACTGCTTCGAATAGACAGAAATCTTATGCAGACTTGAAGAGACGAGACATAGAGTACAATGTTGGTGACATGGTATTTTTGAAGGTTTCACCTTGGAAGAAGGTCCTACGGTTCGGGAAGAAGGGGAAGCTTAGCCCTAGATTCATTGGACCCTACCGCATTCTGGAGCGAATAGGACCTGTTGCTTACAGGTTAGAGTTGCCACCAGAGTTGAACAGGATTCACGACGTCTTTCATGTCTCCATGCTACGTAGATACCGTTCAGATCCGACCCATGTGTTGCCGACCAATGCTGTAACCCTCGACGAGAGTTTGTCTTACGAAGAAGAGCTAGTTAAGATCTTGGCGCGCGAAACTAAAGTACTAAGAAACAAGACGGTACCTTTGGTAAAGGTACTATGGCGTAATCATGCGGTGGAAGAAGCAACCTGGGAGACCGAAGAATCTATGCGAACTCAATACCCTCATCTCTTCGACGACCAATGACTCAGGTAATTTCGAGGACGAAACTCTTTTTAAGGGGGGGAGAAATGTAACGCCCTGAAATCTGGCCCAAAAGAATTAATTAAATTGTTAGAGCAATTGATTACGAATTGGGCCCAAAAAGGGGTTAAAATTATAATTTGGATTCTAAGCCCAACTTTTATGTCATCTCGTAGGAAATATTTTTGTGATCGCGTCGGTTCAGACGGCTTGCGAATCGAAGTTGTGGAGCTCATGTTATGACCATTTAATCAGGTATTTTGGGTCCGAAGCCTAATCCTTTTTGGAATGGGACCATTAAATAAACCTAAACCTAAATTTAAACCACTCGATCCTTATCTTCTTCGTTCGTCCTTCTTCTTCTTCTTCTCCCGTTCTTCTTCTTCTTTCTTCTTTCTTCTTCTTCTTTCTTCTTCTTCTTCGCCGTCGACTTGCAGCCTCCAGTCGCTGCCCAGCGTCGCCAAGCCTCCGCCTCTTTGCCGCACCAGCCAATCGCGCTGCCCATCCTTCGCCGGAAGTCCGTCGCCTCCCCTACCGGCAACCACCATCATTGCCGTCGAGTCCAATCGCCGCCGCTGCTTTCTTCGTCGGTCGTCCGCCGCCGTCGAGTTGCAGCGCCGCCGGTCGCCCTTCCCCAGCCAGTCGCCGCCGTTGCTTCCTTCGCCAGTAGCCGCCGCCCTCATCGTCGACGAATTGCAGCGCCGCCACGCCGAGCGCTGGACGTCGCCTCCACTGCCGGCGTCCTTCCTCGCCGACGAATTGCAGCGCCGCCAGTCGCTGCTCATCGCCGTTGAGTTGCCGCTCCGCCACTGTCGCCGGCGTCCGTCACCGTCGCCGCATCCAGCCGCATTCCCGAGTTGATATCGCCGGAAGATTAACCTCCACGCCGGATTGATTGGTCGATTTCGCATTTTGACTCAATTTGACCCGCTCGTTTGATTTCGTTGATTTGTCTTCCGTTCGAGCTATTGATTCGATTTCAGCGTAATCCAGGTCCGTACTATGAAGTTAATAGCATTTAGAATAGATTTAATGGGTTGGATCGTTATATGTGTTTATGCTATAATTTGGCTAAATTGGTTAATTGAATTAAATTGATTATTTGAATTGAATTGTTGAGGATTGTGAATTGACTGAACAGGTTTGACTTTGACTCGGGTTAGGTCACGTTTGACTTAGGCTTTGACTGGATATTCTGTCGACGTAGGTTTGACCGAATGGTTAAATCCAAGACTTTAATGAATTAGTTAAGTTAATTAATTAATTCTAATCGGTGATTAAGGTCAA